TGAGCTGTGCTCACAGGCCTGCTGTTTGCAGCTGCATGCTTTATCTGTGGTTGTTCCTTCAGTCTGCAGTGATTGTGCAGACGTCTGTGTCTGTGATGTCCTAGGATCTCCATGTCCACTCTGCCCAGCACTGTCCTCGGGGTCTTCACATTGGCAGCTTCTGCAGCATTCTCATGGACTGGTGGCCTGGTGACCACTGAAGGCACTGTGTTTGTTGCCTTCTGACCCGCCAGTCTGTTTCTCCTTTAACCTTTATCGTTTCCCATCTGAGAATCATGTTCCCTCAGAGGCCTGAAAAAACATGGATGGTTGTGTTTTCTCCCTGACTTCTGTCCTTACTAGATTTCTGCCATAGGCTCAGTTACTGAGCCTTTGTCCTGTGAGTCTTCTAAGCAGTCTCCCCCATCTCTCTTATTTCCTGGATTTGCTTTCCAAATGTCTGGGATACCTGCCTGACTCTGCTCAGTGTGCTCTGCCTTAGTGATTTCTGAACTCTTAAGATGGCAGACTCTCTCACCCCACACTCTTGGGACTTCCTTTTTTTTTTTTTTTTTTTTTTCCTTTTTGGAAATAGTCTTAGTGTGTAGCTCTTGGCTGGCCTGGAACTCACTGTATAGGCCAGGTTGTCTTCAAGCTCATAGAGTCCACTTGCCTCTGTTTCCCGGATTATAAGAGTAAATTTGTGCACCACCACATCTAGCCTTTCTTTTTTTTTTTTTTTTTTTTTTTTTTTTTTTTTTTTCTGAGACAGGGTTTCTCTGTGGCTTTGGAGCTGTCCTGGAACTAGCTCTTGTAGACCAGGCTGGTCTCGAACTCACAAGAGATCCACCTGCCTCTGCCTCCTGAGTGCTGGGATTAAAGGTGTGCGCCATCACTGCCGGGCCAGCCTCTTTTCCTACACATATATTTTACACAATGTGAGTGTGTATAATGCCCACTGGAGGCCAAAGAGGTCAATCATATCTCTTGGAACTAGAGTTAGAAAGTTATGAGCCACCATGTGGGTGCTGGGAACTCTGGGTCTTCTGGAAGAATAGCCAATGCTCTTAACCACTGAGCCATTTCTGCAGCCTCCAGTTTTGTTTACCTTTTAAATCAAACTCAAGTGCAAGGTGGATATTTGATTTATTAGTTCCTCCCTATGTGGCTGGGCCTGGTGGCACACACCTGTAATCGGTGGGAGGCTGACGAATGAATTCCAGGCCAACTTGGGATATGGTATAGGTCCCCTGTCTCAAAATAAAAAGAAAATTTAAAAACTACAAGAGGATACAAAGGATTCAGCACCCACAGGGGAGCCACTGAAAATACCAGAATCCATAGAGTTTTATATATGTTCAAGAATTTTATATAATGTGTAGAATTTACATATAAGCTACATACCTTCTATATACTTTAAATCATCTGTAGATTATGTAGAGGCAACATTTTTTTTTGGCGCATGGTTGGTTGAATCTGTGGATATAGAACCTGTGGCTATGGAGGCCAACTATCTAATCATTGTGGGAAAATGAGAAAATATAGTAAGGAGAAAAATTCTGTCAGAGCTTTAACTATATATACACAAAAGTAGAATTTACTCAGTGTTCATTCTTCTTATATATAGTTGTTAGCTCTGCTTGCATATGACCTAGTGTTCATATCAGTTATCCTGTGTAAAGGTGTAAATTCACTTAGAGGAATTACCAAATGCTATCTACTAACTCGTCTTTTGTGTGAAGGCTTTTAGAAACGGACACTACTCCAGAGTGCTAGCCTAGGGTTTCTTCATTCCCAGACTGGTTTGTATCTGGTGTCATATGGATTGAGCTGGTGGCTTCAGTGGGTGAAGACTTGGCTAGAGGCTCCTTTGCCTCTAATGGAGAGATCCCAAGAGCCACCACTGTCCACCAGGGGGTGCTCCAGACCCACCACAGCCAGCCTTTGGGGGGAAGGTTGAGACAACTATTTCTCTGTAGTTTTGGAGCCTGTCCTGGAACTTACACTCTGCAGACCAGAGTGGCCTCCAACTCACAGAGATCCTCTTGCCTCTGCCTTCCAAGTGCTGGAACTAAAGGTGTGTGCCACCACCGCCCTGCTGACAAGCCAATGTTGAGAGAGACTTCTTTCTGTCCTGGAGTCTCCCAGTTCTCCCAATCTGTGGGGATAATCTGGTGAAGGCAGCTCGCCCTGAATAGATGAGTGTGGGCAAAGGAAACAGTCACCCCTGACAAGTATGGGCTGTGAGGCTCAAGCTGGGTCCATGAAGGAAAAGCTGTTAACTTCTCAGAGAAGCAACAAGAGAGGCAAAGAGAAAAGCTGAGGCAGGAGTTTCTGTTCAGGTGTCTTACGTATGGCTCCATCTTTTTCCCAACAGATCCACAGATGAGCATGGCTGCCACCGCTGCTGTCAGTCCCAGTGACTACCTGCAGCCTGCTGCCGCTACTACCCAGGCAAGTGCACAGTGGGCTGTGAGGGCAGGGCCAGAGCCTGGGTGGATCACTGAAGTGCGTTTTCCACCTCACTCAGAGCCCTTTCACTCTCAGTGCAAACACCAGGAAAGTTCACTTATCCGCATTCTCCGAACTAAGACATAGCCACTTGTCTAAGATGTTTAAGTTGGGTCAAGCAGAAAGAGCAGTATTAAAGTTGGCATTCCCAGGACTGGGACTGTTTGTGAAGACCCTGCTGCACATGCATGAGTACCTGAGTTCCGTTCCAGTCACCCGTGTACAAAGCTGTGTATGGCAATGCATGCCTATAGTCCTAGCTCTAGAGAAGCGGGGGCAGCAGGATCCACTGGGCTTCACTGGCCAAAGTCTTGCACAGTCAGTGAGTTTCAGATTCAGCAAGAGACCCTGTCTCAATAAAAATAAGATGAGCTGGAGAGATGGCTCAGCAGTTAAGAGCACTGGCTGCTCTTCCAGAGGACTTGGGTTCAATGTCCAAGCACCCACATGGCTGCTCACAACTGTCTGTAACTCCAGTTCCAGGGACTCTTAACAGCCTTACACAGACATATATGCAGGCACACGCCAACGTATGTAAAAATAAATAAATCATTTAAAAATTTAAAAAATAGAGGCCGGACGTTGGTGGCACATGCCTTTAATCCCAGCACTGGGGAGGCAGAGGCAGGCAGAACACTGTGAGTTCAAGGCCAGCCTGGTCTATAGAGCGAGTGCCAGGATAGGCTCCAAAGCCACAGAGAAACCCTGTCTCAAAAAAGAAAAAAAAAAAAAATTAATAAATAAGGTGATGGGGCTAGAGAGATGCTCAGTTGGTGAGAGCACTGGCTGCTCTTCCAGAGGACCCAGGTTCAATTCCCAGAACTTATGTGGCAGCTCACAACCCTCCATACTCCAGTCCCAAGGGATCTGATGCCCTTCCTGGCTTCTGGGAGCATCAGGCACTTGAGTGATACACAGACATCATATAGGCAAAACACTCAAAACACTTTAATATTAAAGAACAAGATAGAGAGTAAGAATTTAACATTAACCTCTGGCCTCCACATACGCAGACTCAAATGTGCCCAGACACCCCATCACACAAACATGCATACATGTATGTAACACACACACCCCAGAACAAACACAGAAACTTGGGATTCCATCCGAGCATGCTGCCCTTGAGAGAACAGGCCCTGTCTAGTCAGGAAGCAGCACCTGCCGAACTCCAGGAAGCACTTTACCCAGTGTGTCCCCACCCCCACCAACACCTCTCTTTGCCTGCTTTGTGCTAAGTTCATAGAACTCCGTCTGCAATCTGGGGTGTGTCATTGTCCCTGCTAACACTCGACCAGCAAGGCCAGTGGGAAAGCAGCTCGTGCTGTTGGTCTGCTGTGTCCAGGGAGCAGGAACCACTGCAGTGGGGGATGGGGGTGCTGGTGATGGCTGCCATAGGAGGTGGGGGAGAGCTGCTGAGCAGAGAAGATCATTTTTGGCAGAAGGGGGTCTAGCCAGTCTTCCCATCTCACTCCTCTCCTCTGCTGATTTTTGCAGGACTCCCAGCCGTCTCCCTTGGCCCTACTTGCTGCAACATGTAGCAAAATTGGCCCACCAGCTGTTGAAGCTGCAGTGACGCCTCCTGCTCCCCCCCAGCCCACCCCACGGAAACTAGTCCCTATCAAACCAGCCCCTCTCCCTCTCAGTCCCAGCAAGAATAGCTTTGGCATCTTGTCATCTAAAGGAAATATACTTCAGATTCAGGGCTCCCAGCTGAGTGCCTCCTATCCTGGAGGGCAGCTGGTGTTTGCTATCCAGAACCCCACCGTGATCAACAAAGGGAGCCGATCAAATGCAAGTATACAGTACCAAGCGGTTCCTCAGATCCAAGGGAACAGTTCCCAGAGCATCCAGGTGCAACCCAATCTCGCCAACCAGATCCAGATCATCCCAGGCACCAACCAAGCCATCATCACCCCCTCATCATCCGGCCATAAGCCTGTCCCCATCAAGCCAGCTCCTGTCCAGAAGTCAAATACGACTACCACTCCGGTACAGAGTGGGGCCAATGTGGTGAAGCTGACAGGTGGGGGTGGCAACGTGACACTCACTCTCCCGGTCAACAACCTGGTGAACACCAGTGATGCTGGGGCCCCCGCTCAGCTCCTCACTGAGAGCCCCCCCACCCCATTGTCTAAGACTAGCAAAAAAGCCAGGAAAAAGAGCCTTCCTGTTTCGCAGCCATCAGTGGCTGTGGCTGAGCAAGTGGAGACGGTGCTGATCGAGACCACAGCAGACAACATCATCCAGGCAGGAAACAACCTGCTAATTGTCCAGAGCCCTGGTGGGGGCCAGCCAGCTGTGGTTCAGCAAGTCCAAGTGGTGCCCCCTAAGGCCGAGCAACAGCAGGTGGTGCAGATCCCCCAGCAGGCACTGCGGGTGGTACAGGCTGCCTCTGCCACCCTTCCCACCGTTCCCCAGAAGCCTTCCCAGAACTTTCAGATCCAGACAACTGAATCAGCACCAACCCAGGTACCACAGTCCCTCTGCCCACCCCCCTCTCCTCTGCTTACCCTTTGCTTGGTTTTGAGGCAGATGATCACCAGATATGATGGAGTTGGAGTCACTGTCATATGGAGTGGCCAGGAAATGGCTTCAGCCTTTGGGTCTCTTCAGGTCTTAGGCCAGGTAGTTCTGATCTGTAGAAATCAGATGGAGCAGGGATGTCTAGTCTGTTTTCTTTGATTGTGGAGTAGCTTGGGGCATAACTGGGGGGGGTAGATATGACTACTTTTATAATAAAGTGTTTTTATCATAAGATTACATACAAAAGCAGCAAGAATGAGAATTCAAGTCAGAACCATAGAATTTAGTGTAAAATTGTTGCCTACTGTTAATGACAAGAAAAATAATAGGTAGGAGCAGCTAGGCCTTTTCCTTTTTTGAGACAGGTCTCCCTGAATATCCCAGGTTGGCCTTCACCTCGCTGTGGCCCAGGCTGACCTCCGACTTGCAGTCCTGCCTTAGCTTCAGTGCTGGGATTACAAGTGTGAGTCACCGCCGGGCGTTGGTGGCGCACACCTTTAATCCCAGCACTCGGGAGGCAGAGGCAGGCGGATCTCTGTGAGTTCGAGGCCAGCCTGGTCTCCAGAGCGAGTGCCAGGATAGGCTCCAAAGCTACAGAGAAACCCTGTCTCGAAAAACCAAAAAAACAAAACAAAACAAAACAATAAACAAGTGTGAGCCACCGTACTTGCTTCTTTCCACCTATGCTATCCTCTTCTCCCCCAATTCCCCCCCAAATGGTTTCCCTTCTGCTTCATTCATTTGTGTGTGTGTGTGTGTGTGTGTGTGTGTGTGTGTGTGTTTCCCCTTCTAGTCTAGGTTCCATATAAGGGAGAAAACATACTTGTTTTTCTGATCCTGCCTTATTTCACTTAGCATGATGACCTCTTGTTTCTAGCTGTTCTCTCATTACACTGTTCAGGCCACTTTCACAGCTGTTTCTGCTTTTGCTACTTCCTGCCCCTCTTTTGCAGCTGTCTAGTCAGCTGGCCATTGTGCCAGCTGTTCAACTCTGTCTTTTCTTTAGCTGCCAAGCAGCTGACCACTGTGCTACTTTTGCAGCCTGCCCTCTCGGCTACTTTGCAGTCTCTTCTGCTCCTTTGTGTTCCGCCACTGTAAATATAGACAAGAGCAGATGACTCAAGAGACCCTTCTTTGGAACCTAATGTTGCTCAAGACAGCCCAGGTAGTAAAGGAGACTCCAGCAGCTGTGGGGAGTCAAACTACTCTGTTCCCCAGGTTCACTGCTGTTTTACAGAGAGATGATAGTAAGAAGGAATGCTCAAAAAAAGTTAAACAATTTAGTCAAGTATGGTAGTTCATACCTGTAATCACAGCATTCACGAGGCTCAGGCAGGAGGAGTGACATGAGTTCAAGACCAGCCTGGACTACAGTGTGAGACTCTATCTCAAAACACCAAAAACAACAACAACAAAAAAAACCCAAAACTTAAAAACATAATACCAATTATGAATTTAGCAGGTTTTTTTGTTTTGTTTTGTTGTTGCTGTTTTCAAGATGGGGTTTCTCTGTAGCTTTGGAGACTATCGTGGAAATCACTCTGTAAACCAGGCTGGCCTTGAACTCACAGAGATCCCCCTGCCTCTGACTCCTGATTGCTGGGATTAAAAGTGTGTGCCACTTGCCGGGCGTTGGTGGCGCACGCCTTTAATCCCAGCACTGGGAGGCAGAGGCAGGGGCAGGCGGATCTCTGTGAGTTCGAGGCCAGCCTGGTCTACAGAGCAAGTGCCAAGATAGGCTCCAAAGCTACACAGAAAAACCCTGTCTCAAAAAAGCCAAAAAAAAAAGTGTGTGCCACCACCACCCAGCTTGGGTGTCACTTTGTAACCCATGCTGGTGTACTTTTTAAAAATTTTCCTATTTTGAGATTTAGCAGTTATATTTCTCCATGCTAAGTCAATTAAAGGTTTGGCCACAGGTCAGTACCCAGCTTATATCAGTTTAGGACCCTATTTAAATATCAGTAGTATCTGAGTGCATGTTGGTTGAAGAATGAGATGACAGAGGTATACCAGTTCTCCCTTGGACAAGAATGGCTGTGTGAAGGTGCAGGTGTCATGTCTCTTAGGGCACTCTCCTCTTTGGTCCATCAGGTTTATATTCGTACACCTTCTGGTGAGGTACAGACAGTCCTCGTCCAGGACAGCCCCCCAGCAACAGCTGCAGCCACCTCAACCACCACCTGTAACAGTCCTGCACCCCGAGCTCCCCATCTGAGTGGTACCAGCAAAAAGCATTCAGCTGCAATCCTTCGGAAAGAAAGACCCCTGCCAAAGATTGCACCTGCAGGGAGCATCATCAGCCTGAATGCTGCACAGCTGGCCGCAGCTGCTCAGGCCATGCAGACCATCAACATCAATGGAGTCCAAGTGCAGGGTGTGCCTGTCACCATCACGAACACTGGCGGTGAGGGAAAGTCCTGCAGCCAGGGTGTTGGCAGCGGGGCTTTGTATTCAGCATGTGGGAATCCTGAGCCAGGCCCCTGGAATTCCCAGTATCAGCCATGAGGATGGATGCTGTCCATCCAAGGTGATGCCCAGCATTTGCTTGGTCCACTCCAGCCTCAGGGCATGCCCATGTGAATCTTTATACCTGGTCCTTAGAGTATTGTGAGATAGTAAATAACATGTCCATATATGGTAACCAAAGATGTTGAGTAATGATGGGAAAAATAGACTGTGTTCAAGTAATATACAAACTCATATTCATTTGGCTGGTCACCTGCCCAGGTCAGGTGACTAAGGGCCATACCATGTAAGGAAGTGAAGGAACACTTCATTTTGAGACAGTGTTTTCTGGCTGTCATGGAACTCACTCTAGACCAGGCTAGCCTCGAACTCGAGATCAGAGATCCACCTGCTTCTGCCTTCCAAGTGCAGGGCTCAAAGGTGTGTGCCACCACTACCCAGCTAAGGAAGCTCCCCCACTCCCAAGGCCTCTTAAAGAGAGAGGCTGGTGTTGAGGTTGAGTGGCAAAGGAGGGTGTCCTGGACAGCAGGACCAGCTTGTGCTGCACAAGAGTTCAATGATGATGCAGTCTGTGAATGCAGTCTTGAAAATAAAAGGGAGAGGGACAGGAGAGAGAGCTCTGTGGTTAGAGAACTGTCTGTCTGCTCTTCCAGAGCCTGGATTTAATTCTCAGTACCCACATGGTGGCTACAACAGTCTATAACTAGTCCCATAGAATCTGATGCCCTCTTCTGGTATGTAGCTATACGTGCATACAGAACACCCATATTTATAAAATACGGAAATAAATCATTAAATAAAATAGGGAAGAGGGAGAGCTGCCTTGCAGAAGCAGTCTGCATTCTGCACCTAGGAATGGGGCAGCTTTCAAGGTAGTGAGAGTTCACGGCTTCCCTCTCCCTCATGAATTCCTATCGAGCATTTTATGCATTTGATTTGTCCATTTTTAGGGGACACCAAGAGGGAGGACAAGGTAGCCTAGAGTGATTTCCCAAAGCCCATGAATATTGGGGAGTCTCCTGCCAGCAGCATTAGGCCTCTGACTCTCACTGCTCTCCAGTGAATTGGTTGCCATGCTCATCCTTAACCTGTGCAGGAGGGAGAGGTGGTTTGGCCTTGGCTTCCTGTCCTGAACCGAGTCCCTCTCTTTTCCACAGGGCAGCAGCAGCTCACAGTGCAGAACGTGTCTGGAAACAACCTGACCATCAGTGGGCTGAGCCCCACGCAGATCCAGCTGCAGATGGAGCAGGCCCTCGCTGGAGAGGCCCAGCCCGGGGAAAAGAAGCGACGCATGGCCTGCACGTGCCCCAACTGCAAGGATGGGGAAAAGAGGTAATGCGCCCGGGGCCACACCCACACATAGCCTGGCCAATGCCCGGCTCCACCAGTTGCTCTGTGGGACAAGTGGCAGTTCCCAACTCCTGCCTCCCATGGCTTCTCTCCATTCTCTCCCCTCTTCCCATTTCCTCTCCTGGCTCTCCACCCACCCCCCTCAGGTCTGGGGAGCAGGGCAAGAAGAAGCACGTGTGCCACATCCCAGACTGTGGGAAAACTTTCCGGAAGACATCCTTGCTCCGGGCCCATGTCCGCCTGCACACTGGGGAGCGACCCTTTGTCTGCAACTGGTTCTTCTGTGGAAAGAGGTTCACACGTAGCGATGAGCTCCAACGACACGCTCGAACCCACACAGGTCAGCTTCCCCCACACCCGTCGGCTGTGCTTTGTGTATCATCACCCCTGCCTGTTGAGTTTCTAGAGCCATGCAGACCACCCAGGGAGTTCTTTCAAGTCAGATGCTGCCCAGAGTCAGGTGGACATTACACAGCTTCTATAACCTCTCATCATTTCTACAGAGCTGTTTCACAAGCTCTCAGCTGGGCACCTTTGTCCTATCGGTACAGAGGTTGATGCAGGAGGATCAGGAAGGAATTCAGAGCCAGCCTGAGTAACATGAGAGACTGTGTCACAAGTAAAATAAACCAGAAAACCCCACCAAGCTCTGATGAGGTTTGCCAGGCACTGTGTTTTTGCATTTTCAGATAACTTCCGTTAATCCCAGTAAGGCCTTGGAGAGGTTTGGGAAATGACTAGTGGTGGACAAACTGGGTTCCAGTCCAGGTCCTTGGGCTCCTAAACCCACATTTTTATTTTTGAGATTGGTTCTGGTGATATCTTAGGACTTGAGGTCCTTCTGACTCAGTCCTCTGTGCTTGGGATATAGGCATGGATCTTCATGAACTAAAGGCACCTAGCTTCCCATTTCTCCTTTTTTTGGGGGGGGGCGCGGTGGTAAGATTTTGCTTCATGTTCCAGATTGCATTTGAGCTTAGCAGCAGTCTTGCCTCAGCCTCCCAAATGTTGGGATTACAGGTGTGAACACCATACCCAGCTTTTTTTTAAAGGCAAGATTTTGTTGAATAGCCTCGGTTTAGCCGGGCATTGGTGGCGCACGCCTTTAATCCCAGCACTCAGGAGGCAGAGGCAGGCGGATCTCTGTAAGTTCGAGACCAGCCTAGTATACAAGAGCTAGTTCCAGGACAGCCTCCAAAGTCACAGAGAAACCCTGTCTCGAAAAAAAAGAAAAAGAAAATTAGAATAGCCTAGGTTTACCTTAAACTCATGGCACTCTTCCTGTCTGGTAAATGCTGGGGTTACAGGCCTGCTCCAACATGTCTGCTTTACTGCAGGCCTGCCTTGATTGCAACATAGGTTTGGTACCAAGGTTGCTATCACAGTTCTGTGCATTAATGTACTAACAAATACAGGCCAAACTATAGGAAAGTGCCCTGAAGTTGTCCTGAGCATGCCCAGTGCTCCACAAGATCCACTGGCAGCTACTGCATAGTCAGTGAAGCCCTGCTAAGCAGAGGCTGGAGGTAGGGGACATGTGACCCAAAGTTACAGCTTCTGGCCTGATCATACCCGCTCAGAGGCAGAGGTATAAATACCCTGACAGTGTGGATGTCTTCCTGCAAGGAGGAAGGTGTTGATCAAGTCCAAGGGACACACTCCAGAATGAAGCAGGTATACAGAGGCTCCAGGACAAGCAGTCTGGGCAAGGAACAGGGAACTGACTAGAGTGAGGTAGACTAGAAGAGACAGCTGGGGCAGAGAGGTGAGATAACCAGGTGACAGGAGGGAACCCGTTAGCGGAATGTGGAGATGAGGCTCTCACATGTGCTTCTCCTTTCTGAGACTAGCAGCGTCAGACCAGGGCTCTTTGGTAACAGTTATTTCCTCTTCCCAGGGGACAAGCGCTTTGAGTGCGCCCAGTGTCAGAAACGCTTCATGAGGAGTGACCATCTCACCAAGCATTACAAGACCCACCTAGTCACGAAGAACTTGTAAGGCCAACTGAGGCAGGAGGCCCTGAAGATGGACTCCCCCATCTGATTGGCCTGGGTCCATGGTGGACAGGTGCCCACAACTGCCCTGGGTGGCCCTCACCCCACTCCTGTTCTGTGGCTGTGTCCCCACAGGGAGGGGCTCTCCTCCTTCCAAAGGCCCTTCCCTTCTCATCATGAGCTCCTGGCCTGCCCAGGCTATGGACACTGGCCATGCCCAATGAGACGTTCTAAACCAGGACGCGTGGGGACCCTTATTTCCAAAGGAAAAACATGCATTTCACTCCGTCGAGGAGCAAAGTGAGCCCCCTATCCGAACCCATTCCCTGCCCCAACACTGCCGGAGTCCCATTGTGCCATGCCCCTCCAATCCTGTGCCTCCTTGTCCCCCTCAACGACCCCCTCTCCACACCCCAGGGCCCTGTACTCAGCCTCCCTCTGGCACCCACCCCTGTGGAGGCTTGGGAGGCTGCCTCCACTCCACTGCCCAGCCCTGCCACGGCTCTCCTCCAGACATTCCAGCTTCCTCTTGAAAGGTCAGACGCCGGCGGACTCCTCCCACTCCTTTTTCTATGGAGAATGTTGCCTTACACTCAGACTTCAGATGATGAACACTGTGTATGTGTGTGCTTTAAAGACATTTTATTTAATTGATCCCTTCTTCCTTTCTCTACTAGGCGCCTCCCCCTCACCTGTGTTCAGTTTAGGGTTTTGGGGGCAATGCTGAGCATAGGAGTTTCTTCCTCACTAACAATTCTTTTCTAAATGACACATTTCAACTCAGATCCGGACTCACATGAAAAAACACCTTCCATTCTGACTCCCTCCACACCCTTTCATCTCATCGCCCTACCTGCCCAAGCTCTATTGTGTACAGTGTATATTGTATAATAGACGATTGTGTCTACGACATGTTTTAAAAAAACATATTGCTTGTTATTTTTGAGGCTTTTAAATTAAACAAAAATCCAACTTTATTTTTCGTTGTAACTGCTTGAGGATGTTTTATTAATTAAGTGACAGATTTGTTATCCTTTATTAACAATGTATTTTGTTGGTCAGTGATGGGCTGACAAAAATTTTCTTGCTAATAAATTTAGTTGCCTGAGGCAAAGTCTGCTTTTGGCAGTTGGGCTCCCTTTGTCTGTTACTTCAGAGGTCTCATGGAGGGGACTCCTAGGAGCCCCATGCTTTTAACTTACCATCCTGGCACAAGCACATCCAGGCCGTGGTCCCAAAGAAGAGGAATGTTCAGAGCACCTTTGGGGAGCACCTCTGGGGATTTCCAGAGCAATGTAATGTCTCTGCTTTTTTCTTTACTAAACAGTCTTGCTTCAGCCACAGAGATAAATCCTAGAAAGGGACTTCCTAAGCTGGTGGACTAACTTACTCTACACCTGCCCCAGCCCCTGAGGAAGGTGTTTGCTGCCCAGTCCCTAAGAAGCTAGCAGATGAGTTAAGAACCTTGGCTCAGAAAACACAGTTCCCATGGATAGAGAGTTCTTCCCACAGTGGAGGACCATTTCAGGGTCAGCAGCTAGAGGCCCAGCTTTTCCTGAGACAGGACCCTGACTAGCCTTGGGTTCTACTTCTCTTCTGCCCCTCACCAGTCCCTCAGAGGGCAACCCATTGGCCACGCCTCCCAGTTCCAGTAGGGATGCAGATCTGAAGTATGTTGGGGACTTTTTCTTCTTGGCAGAACTACAGAAAAGTCAGGGGTTGTGATTTATTCAGATTTAAAACTGGAGTTAAATGTGTAAGCCTGGGGGGGGGGCGCTAAAGAGTAGCAGAGGGCTGGAAGAAGAGGTCAGTCTGCCTCAGACATGTAGAAAACTGGACACTTTGTACTTACCCTCAGACCAGCCAGGACCGCAGTTCTGATGAGTGCCGAGACTTCTGCGCTGGCCGCCCCCTTGCACTCTGCCCTTTGTCGCCAGCCACCTATACTAGCCAACAACACTTTTCCCCAGAGCCAGTCAACCCCCACATAGCTGAAAAATAAAAAAAAAAAAGACATGGACTTCAGTTGGGTCTGGGCTCTCTGCCCTTAATCACTTCTCTGTCAGCAGAAGGTGACCCTTGCTGCTTAGTCTCAAGCCTTTTGGGCAATAGTAGACTGACAGCTGGGTCATCCCTGGCATAGAAGCCTCATTGGCCCATCAGCCTGCATCTCAGTGTAGCCTTGGCAGCTGGGGAAAGGAAGGCCTTGCTGTGCTCGGAATCCTGGGTAGTGCAAAGGGACAGGGTGCATTAGCCAACTGACTTCTTTCAGTCACACAGTGCCTCAGGCACAGGGTTACCTGGGGGCTGACCCCAAGGCCTGGACTTTATGCTGAGTTCACTCTTGGCCTCCTTTATAAACAAATGGTGTCAACCCCCAGCTAGAAGAAGCAGGTTGGCGTATGGGAATTCCCTTCTCAGGGAGACATACAGATATACAGGCTATGGCATTATACCCTTGTCTCTTGTGGGATACCTGGGATGATTTATTTGTTTAAGATTTATTATTTTAAATTATGTGTGTGTAGGGGGGGCATGTGCATATGAGGGAAGGTGTCCTCAGAGGCCAGAGGCATCAGATTCCCTGGAGCATGAGGTACAGACAAGTTGGTGAGCCTGTGAACCGAACTCATGTCCTCTGGAAGAGCAGCAGCTACTCTAAACCACTGGGCCATCTCTCTAGCCCCTGGATGCCTGAGTTTTTACAAGGAGGAGAACATATTTTACCTAGCATTGATGAGATGAAGGAGTAGAAAGACTCCTGCCTGGGAAGATGCCTCAGTGGGTAACGTGTTTGCTATGCAAGCATGAGGATCTGAGTTTGATTCACATAAAAAACTACAGAGATGGCTCAGTGGTTAAGAACACTGGCTGCTCTTCCAGAGGACCTGGGTTCAAATCCCAGCACCCACATGGCAGCTCATAACTGTCTATAAATCCAGTCCCAGGGGATCTGACCCTTTACAGACACATACAGGCAGGCAAAAGATCAATGCACATACATTAAAAGTAAAATCATTAAAAAAAGCCAGTCCTGGTAGTATGTTTGTTATCCCACTCCTGGGAGGCAGAGATGGGGCGGGGGAAGAAAACCTGTCTCAAAAACCAAGGTGGCCCTGGGTGTTGGTGGCGCATGCCTTTAATCCCAGCACTCGGGAGGCAGATCTCTGAGTTCGAGACCAGCCTGGTCTACAAGAGCTAGTTGCAGGATAGGCTCCAAAGCCACAGAAAAACCCTGCGGGGGGGGGGGTGGCAACAACAACAGCAACAAAATCCAAGGTGAATGTCTCCTAAGTAAAAACATCCAAAGGTGACCCCTGACCCCTGGCCTGTATATGTTTACACACACACACACACACACAAACAAAAGGTTCAGCGGCAGCTCCTGCTGCTCCCACTCCTCGGCTTCTTTTGTAAAGCATTTTTATTTTATGTGCATGAGTGTTTTGTCTGCATGTATGTATCTGCACCATACACATGCAGTGGCGACAAAAAGCCAGAAGGGGACGTTGGATCCCTTGGAATTGGGAACTAAACCCTGGTCCCATGCAAGAGCAGCCAGTGTTCTCTCTCTCTTTTTTTTTTTTTAATTAACAAACCTTTCATCAAACTACCCCATCTATCTTTACAATTATCTTTTTAGTGCCTTTGTGTCTTAGCTACAATTCTTGTCACTGTGACAAATTACCTGAACTTAAGGAAGGACTAACTTTGGCTCAGGACCTGAGGAACTAGAGTCCTTCATGGTGGGAGAACCATGGTGGCTGGGTGTGCAGGATGCTGGTCACACTGAATCAATAGTTAGGAAGCAGAAAGAGAGGAGCCCCAGTGCTCAACTGGCTCCCGCCCCCTCCCCCTTTTTTAGTCAGTCTTGAACCCCAGCCCAGGATGGGTCTTCAGTTATGCGGAACCCTCACATCATTCTAAATCTAGCCAAGTTAGCAACTGTGATCAGACACATCACGTTATAGCATCCTATCTCTGGCCCCTATGAGATGCATCTAATGCATCTCTAAAAGTCTCCATAGCAAAGATCAACGAAGTCTCTCCTGAAGCTCAGGAAGCCGCTTAACGGTGAGCCCCTGTGAAACAAACGACAAGCAGCACATTTCCAACACACAGCGACACGTGTGAGTGACACACCTCCAACACACAGGGTAAATGCCCTCATTCCAAAACAAAGGAAAGCAGCACAGGAAAAATCAGACCCAAGCAAGACTAAGGTCAGGCAGAGAAAACCCAAAGCTTGGCTGGAGGTGGTGGCATAATACCTTTAATTCCAGCACTCGGGAGGCAGAGGCAGGTGGATCTCTGAATTCAAGGCCAGCCCGGTCTACAGGGCGAGTTCTAGGACAGCCAGGGCTACACAGAGAAACCCTGTCTCAGACCACCTGCCCCCAAACAAAACCCTGCAGCTCCTATCTGGCATCTGGGACTCTTGGTGGCATCCTCTAGGCTCTAACAGTGTTAGGTACCCCTGCCCTCCAGCTCTGCTGCCTGACTCACACATAGCTTTTCTTTGGGGTCAGCTCCACTTCTTGGCTGCAGCTTTTTCTCGGCAGATGTCCCATGGCCCTAGAATCTCCAGTACCCTAGAGTCTCCATTGCATCTTAGGTTTCACCTTCATAGCTTCAGACAGTGGCTTCCCAGGGCCTCCTTGTAAGGAATCCAAGCCTACCATACAGCTCCTGGCTTCAGGGGCTTTCAGGAACACTGATGTAAATCTCCATGACCCCATAACGCTTGCATTTTGTTTGCCTGAAAAAACACATGGACAGTGCTGCTAAACTATGCTCTAGATGTGTTCTGGCCCTCTTCTGCCACAGCTCTCACTGGCCTTTGTGCATGTTGGTGACCTGGGAGAACACTTCCCAAACAGCACTCCCAGTTCAAACTTTCTCCTTTTTGGGGGGAGGGGGACTCAAGACAGGGTTTCTCTGTAGCTTTGGAGCCTGTCTTGAAACTCACTCTATAGGGCAGGCCTGCCTTGAACTCACTGAGATCCGCCTGCCCTGCCTCCTGAGTGCTGGGATTAAAGGCGTGCACCACCATACCTGGCGCTTTCTCCTTTCAAATGGAATGTGCATTTCCTAAATTGGAGCCTTTGGTGGTCAGGGTTTTGCCCTCACGACACCTTCCCTATGGCAGAATGAGGTTTCTCTAGTTAATGTAACTGTTTGTCTGAGTTATTATTCCATTACTGTGAAGATACACCATGATCAAAACAACTCTTATAAAAGAAAGCATTTAGCTGGGGGCTTGCTTACACTTTGAGAGGGTAACGTTCATGATCGTCATAGCAGGAAGGAGACAGGCAAGTCACTGGAGTAGTAGCAGACAGCTTTACATCCTGGTCTTCTGCCTGATCTGCAACAGGCAGACAGAAACACATGGCCTGGTATGGAGTTTTGAATCCCACTCCCAGTGGCATGGCAAAAGGCACCCCCAACGAGGTCACACCCACTCCACAAGGCCACACCTCCTAATCCTTCCCAAATAGTTCCACTAACTGGGGCCCAAAAATTTAAACATAGGAGCTTATAGGGACCATTCTCATTCAAACCACCACAGTTAGTTTATCTAGTTCATGGAACAACTGCTTTCTCCTTTGTCTGCACCTGTCCCGTTCACAATTCAAAACTTATTCACCTTCTTTTCAATAAATTGAACATTTTTTTCACATATTTCTGACCAAGAGCAGCAAACATACTATGCTATCTTAAAATTTCCTCTGTTGACCAGGCAGTGGTGGCGCATGCCTTTAATCCCAGCACTTGGGAGGCAGAGGCAGGCAGATCTCTGTGAGTTTGAGGCCAGCCTAGTCTACACAGCGAGTTCCAGGACAGCCAGGGCTGTTACAGTGAAACCCTGTCTCAAAAAACAAAACAAAACAAAAGTTCCCCTGCCAAATATCTTAATCCTTGCCCTTTGAATTCATTCTCATTTAAGTTTTCAGGGCATAGGCAGAAAGCAGGCAGATTTTATTTATTTTGCTATAATGTAATACAACTGTCTCTAGCCCAGTTTCCAATAGGTTCTGCTGATAACCCATAAACATGTGCAGTCTGCCCATTGGTGCTCAGTCATCTACACTCTGCCAATGGGCTCTGCCGAGCATGTTAAGCCTCTCTGGCCTCCTGCTCTCTTACGTGATGGGAAGGGGCTTGGTCATTAGTCTGCACACTTGCTCCCACCTTCCTCTGAGGCCTCACATACTTCAACCTGTTAAATTTAGCTTTAAGCCAGGTGCAGTGGCACATGCCTGTAATCCCAGCACTCAGGAAGTGCCGGAATGAAGGCCAGGAATCAAGGGCTAATCATGGCTACATAGTGAGTTCAAGGCTAGGCGAGGCTGTAGGAAGCCCTGTCTAAAACAATAATAAATACATAAATAGATAAAGCTGAGTCTCTCCTTTCACTGTGAGTGTAGCTCAGTCAGTAGATTATTTGCCTGAAATGCATGGGTTCAACCCTGGAACCATGAAACAAAGAAACAAACTTACTCTTTTCTTAACCTGGAGGCCCTAGAAGAGCTGGACAACATGTTAACTACGAGATGACCTCTTATACCTCTTCCTAGTCTTGAAGGCTGCAGGGTCAGAGGTCAGAAGGGCTACATCCACCCTGGCCTCTCACAGCAATGGACACTCCAGGTTCCTCTCAGGCTGGGCATCTTATACATTGTCCTCCACTGACATTGACCCAAAGCTTATACACTGGTTACACTGGTGATGACAGGGAGGCCACAGTGAGGGACACCACAGGCTCTTTAATTGATGATAGGAAAATGACCTAGGGGCAGACACACACACACACACACACACACAGAGAGAGAGAGAGAGAGAGAGAGAGAGAGAGAGAGAGAGAGCGCTGCAGAGCTCAGACAGACAGATACCACCATCTCAACACCATCCTCCTTTACTCCAGGCAAAAGTAAAGGCTGCAATGACAGAGGCTTTTACATACTATCCTTAGATAAAGTCTCCCTGCCCAAGGGCCGCCGTAGCTCCTGTCATACCTCCAGAGCAGCCTGCTGTTTTTACCGCAGCAATGAGGATCCCTTTAATAACCTGAACCACAAAGCCACCTGAAGAAAGAATGGAGCCAGCCTGGGATGCAGGCCCATAATCCCAACTACTGGGGAGGCTGGGCATGAAGAGGATTGAACGTGTAAGGCCAACCTGGGCTACAAAGTGAGTTCGGGTCAGTCCTGGTGACTTAGTGAGACTTAATCTCAGAATAAAAAGTAAAATGACGGTTGAGGATGTAGCTCAGTGGTAGAGAGCTTACCTGGAGTGGACAAGTACCTAACGGAAACACACATCACCCCAAGCCAGCGTGACCAGCCATGCACCGGTATTCCCAGCATTAGGGAGGCTGAAGCCAGGAGACTGACATGGAGTTTGAGACCAGCTTTGTCTATATGGTGAGTTCTAGGTCAGCAAGGCTACCGAGCAAGGTACTGTCTCAACTCCTTCCCCACCTCCCTTCAAAAACTCACCCAACCAACTTCACAATTAGAGCAGACCACACAGCCGTGGCCTACGGAGGACAGATGACTAACACCAACTAGCTGACTAGACCTCTGAGGGCCCAGAGACAGGAGGCAAAGGCTCTGGCTTGAGACAGAACTTGCTAGCCATAACCTGCCTTTATTCCACCCCTTGTTTCACCATGCACAAAGTAGCCACTTGCAAAATTCCTGGTCAATGGAATATAGACTGTGGAGACCTCAATTAGGATGAAATCCTGCCTCAGGGCCAGACTATTCGTGCATTAACCAAAGCCTCTCTCTCTCTCTCTCTCTCTCTTTTTCCCACTTCTCAAATTTATTTATTTATTTGCTCTTACATTTTCTCTCTCCTGTGTGTGTGTGTGTGTGTGTGTGTGTGTGTGTGTGTGTGTGTGTGTGTGTATCCACACACCACGGGGCATGTGAAAGCTAGAGGGTGACTTGCAGAAGTCACTCTCCTTCTACCTTGTGGGTTCTCAGGATCGAACTCAGTTTGTTAGGCTTAGAGGCAGGTGCCTTCGTCTACAGAGCTACCTCTCTAGCCCTTGACCGAAATCTTTGGGGTCAAGGTGAAATCATTAACTGTGCCAGTCGCACAGAGAAGTCAGAGGACATCAGGTGTCCTCTTCCTCAAGACAGGCTCCCTCATTAAACTTGCTGTCTTTTATCACTACAGATGGACATTTCCTGAGCATGCCTGTGGGCTAGGATTTTTAGATGGAGCGACAGAGGTCACAAGTTACCCTCACCCCACCTCAGAGAAGCTCCCAGGCTCATGGACAATACCAGCCACACTGGATGAACACCATAGACCAAGTAGGGAAGCCATCTGGGTGTAGGAGGCAGGGCTTAACCACACAGCCCCACAGGCAGGGCATTGATAAGGTTGGGCCTCCCTAGTTCCCACCCACAGCAAGCCTCTAAAAGCCCCTAATAAGCTATTCTGGGCTCAGCCACCAGCTTGCAGGAAGCTGACCTTCACTTTGCATGTGTCTTGTTGCTCCAAGCTGAATTCACCCAAGCTGAGAATTCCTGAGCTTGGCCCCCAGCCCAACCTGCTCCCCCCAGGAGAGCTGGAGGTGGTATCGTGCCAGCATCATTACAGCATCATCACTTGTCCTTGGCCTCCCCACCATCCACTGTAATTCCAAGCCACTCTTCTCACACCTCAGCTTTCCTATGGCTTCAAGTGCCATTTTGGAGGCACATTTGGAGGCACACTGAATTGGTATTGTCAGCCTGGGCCCCTCTCCTAGACTGCAGCTTCCATTTTCCATGGTCAAACATGGGTGTCCCATAAATCCTCAACAGCTCTGCAAATGAATTCATCTGTCCCCCAAACTTCTCCAACTGATACATAGCAGCACCCACACAGCCTAAAGCCAGCCCTGGTGAGCCGATCTCCACTCTCCACTGCCTGCCAATATTTACTGATTAGTTATGTCTCTGCCCCCACCCCGAGCTTCCACTTGAGCAACACTATAGCTGTTCCCAGAAGCTTCCAGCCATTAGCCTCACCCTCCCTTCCTTGTCATCCACTTGGGCGCCAGACCCAGGTTCCAAAATACAAATCCAATTACTAAAATTAAAAAGAAAAACCAGAACCATGCAGTGGTGGCACACACCTTTAATCCCAGAATTTGGGATTAAAGGGAGGCAGAGACAGGAGGGAATCTGAGTTAGAGACCAGCCTGGTCTACAGAGGGGAGTTCCAGGACAGCCAGGGTTACAAAGAAAAACCTTGTCTCAAAAAGCCTAAAAAAGGAAAACCCAGCTACATATAGTGGTGCACACCTTCAGTCCTAGCACGTGGAAGGCAGAGGCAGGAGGATCTTGAGTTCAAGGCCAGCCTGGTCTACAGAATGAGTTCCAGGACAGCCAGAGCTACATAGTGAACCCTGGCTCAGGAAAAAAGAACAAGAAAGACAGAGCCAGACAATTAAATGAAAAGGTAACTTAACAAATAAATAAAAGTGGTGCATGCCTTTAATCCCAGTACTAAGGGACAAGAAGCAGAAGGATCTCTGTGAATTTGTGGTCAGCCTTGTTTATATAGCAAGTTCCAGAACAGCCAGAGTTACATAGTGATAAACTGTCTTGTCTTTAAAAAAGAAAGAGAGCTGGAGAGATGGCTCAGTGGTTAAGAGTACTGCCTGCTCTTCCAAAGGTTCTGAGTTCAATTCCCAGCAACCACATGGTGGCTCACAATCATCCGTAATGAAATCTGGTATCCTCCTCTGACATGCAGACATACATGCAGGCAGAACACTGTGTACATAATAAATAAATAAATAAATAAAAAGAAAGGAAGGAAGGAAGGAAGAAAGGAAGAAAGAAAATAAAAAAACTTTGGAAGCAAACAGTTAAGATACAGTCCCTGAAAGCCAGGCGGTGGTGGCACACTCGCCTTTAATCCCAGCACTCGGGAGGCAGAGGCAGGTGGATCTCTGTGAGTTTGAGACCAGCCTGGTCTACAAGAGCTAGTTCCAGGACAGCCTCCAAAGCCACAGGGAAACCCTGTCACGAAAAACCAATCAACCAACCAAACAAACAAATAAACAAACAAAAAACGCTACTTCATCCTGAGAGAACAGCATAGCTCTCTGTGCAATTCAGTTTTGCAAGGCATTGCTTTGCTTGAATTAGGCCTTTCTCAAGAAAAGAATAGTACAAAGTTGGATGCAGTACTAACATAGTGCCAGTTCCAAAAGGAATGAAAGGCAGCATCAGCCAAGGTGGTTCTGCCTCTAGTTGCACACCGCAGGGTTGCCATGTGGTTCAGACACCAAATCCCACCGAGCAGAAAAGCACAACTGCCCAGCTTGAAGTCTTTCTTTGGAGACAAATTCTTGCTAAGCTGCTCAGGCTGGCCTCAAATTCATGATCCTCCTGCCTCAGTCTCCCAGGTGCATTTCACCACTTTGACCACACCCAACTGCCCAACTCAAAGTGGTCTTAAACAAACAAAAACACCCACCACAAAATAGGCTTTTGGCTCCACAATGTCTTCAGATAAGAAAATAGAACTGTTGTGTCTAAAAGGTGAGCCCTCACTACCTTCACGGTGGGTCTTCAGCAAGGAGCCCAGGACCCTGCCTGTTCATCTCTCCTGTTCTTTGCTCCCTGGTCCCAGCAGCGTCACACTGCTCCACTGCCCCTCCGGCAAACACTCCTTAAGACAAATGTACTGTCAGCTCCCTTGACGAAGCCTTTCTGGACTGACTGTCCCTTTGGTCCTGTTTTCCTTTGCCTAACAGAAACATGTTAACTACCTACAATTCTCTCAGGCTCATAGATCTACCACTGTGGACAGGAATCATGCTATTGCCTTCACTTTGGCATTGTCAGACCTGGCTAAATGGCCTGGTCCACAGGCAGTGTTTAGAAAATGTTTATCAAATAGGCAGGCTATATAAATACACATCTCATAGTATTTTTGGCTGTGAGACTAGCCTTTAACAGCCGAGCCATCTTTCCAGCCCCTCATAGCATTTTTTTAAAGGTGGGGCTCACTATGTAGCCATGTTGGATCTCATGATCTGTTCACCTCAGTCCCCCAAGTGCCAGAGTCACAGGTGTTTGGCACTACAAGAATCTCATGCTCTTGCCTTTAAAGTCTTAGTACCTATAAAACTCTTGCTCCAATGTAACAGTAGCCCAGAGTGAAACCTTATAAAAAACACTAATGACTACTTAAGTCAACTGCAAGGGCCAGAAAATTGTCTCCATCATGCTCATGGGAAAAAACAATGATGGGACCAAAAATTCCAACCGGTGAAGAACCCATAGACTCATACAATTGAGCTTTGTCTTTTTCGAGACAGAATCTTATGCAGTCCAGACTAGCCTCACACTTGCTATACAGCTAAGGCTGGCCTTAACTGAGTGCTGAGATTACAAATAGGCTTGCACGGCTATGCCCAGCATGTTTTGACTTGTTTCTGCGTATCAGATTCCATTGGCTCAAGCCATGAACACACGATGACAGGTCCCCACTGACCACTAGGCAGGCCAAGAAGTCCCCTTACCTGGCACAGTTCTAGGTGCTTGTCTAGATGGTTCTTGTGGCTCCCATTTCAGAGGCTGGCAGACAACAGGACTACAGTCATCTCCCACCACACCCCTTCTCAGCGCTCCATCCACCGCCTGGAATCATCTTGCAGGCACCTGTTCCCCCATATTCTCGGCTGGCTATTGCTGGTATTGACTAAGAACTATGCCTCCCACTACCTAGGAAAGAGAAAATGTGAAAAGGGGAAAATAACGAAATGCAAGAGGCCTGGGAGAAGGGCAGCCCTTCCATCTGTTAGAGCAGTGGCTAGTATGTTTATCCGTTGCTCAGGGAGAGGATGCTCTGAGCACTGCCCACCGCTTAGGGGAGTGGGTTCCAAGCCGTAAGGAAAGACCATTCTGGCCTGGGGCAACCAGATCCCAGTTTTCCCTCTTCTTTCTATTCAACTGCCTCCCTTCTCACCTCAGAGTCTCCCCCATGACCCCAGAGCAACTTTCCAGTCCCCAGAATACCATCCCACCCTCACGACCATCAGCATCTGCCTGTGTGGTCCACAAGCAGTTTCCACCTTTCCTGCTCTCAAGCCACAATCTTTTCCCTCAGCCAGACTACCCCCCTTTTCTCTGCGTCCCCATCACCTTGCTTCAGAGTGCGGCTCTAATGCCATGTTTCCTTCCCCAGGTTACCAACCTCCACTTCCAGGAGGCTCTTCTTCAGTAGTCCGGCCACTTAAAGCAGACCACTCCTCTCCAGCTCCCGGGACTTCGCCCCGCCCCCGCCTGGCTGCAGCGGTCCCTGTACCTTTAACAAACCTCCACGTGCTGTTAACGGCGGTGACAGCATTTCCTTGTCTCTCTGCTCGGGTCCCCAGAGGCGCAGCCCATTGGCTCCTGGACTCCCCTGTTCTCGTTCTAATTGGTCTCGCTTCAGGAAACTCAAACCAATGAGCTCTCCGCGTGGGTCTCCCTGCTCTCATCCTGGACAGCTATTGGCTGTCCTGGCACCTGGGCGCCGAGAACTTAGGACTTGTTAGCTTGTCTGGGCTGCTAGCAAATTCTTCCCAGGCTAGACACCCAGGCTAAGCAATTGGTTCCGAACCCAGAGGAACCCAGGGCCTGGCGACGTCGGGGCACGTGACCGGCGTTCCCACATGACGTGCGCGCTGCTGAGCGTCACCGCGACGTTCGGGCGACCTTCGAAGTGGCCAGGCTACCTCCGTCACCTGTGCTGTCGGGGTGCTGTCATGGACCTGGGACCGATGCGCAAGAGTTACCGCGGGGACCGAGAGGTGCAGCCACTGCCGCCCGGGCACGAAAAGGGGGTGTCCCTGCGTCTTGGGGCCTCTGTGGCCACATATAGGGCAACAGGATTTAGGGATCACGGTGGTGGGAAAACGGGGTTTCAGAGACAACAACTGGAGAGGAAAACGTGAGCTAAAGGTTTGCTCGCTCAGAGGCTGACTTCAGAACCCACCTGTGTTGGAACCCAGCGCTCTTCTGACCAATCACCTTGGGCAATTTATCCTCTCTGGGCCTCAGTTTACTGATCTGTAAAGTGACAATGCCTGCTTTACAAGGATGCTGTGGATTTAGGGTTCTTCTAACTTTTACATTTTTATTGATTTAGTGTGTGTGTGTGTGTGTGTGTGTGTGTGTGTGTGTGTGGTGTATAGGTCAGAGGGCAATTTTTCGGGAGTTTTTTTTTTTTTTTTCTACCATGTAGTTTCAGCTAGGACTGAACTCAGGTTGCCAGGCTTGGTGTCAGGTGCCTTTACCTGTGGAGCTAGCTCACCAGCTTGTGTTTAGGCTTTTGCAAAGTGCTTAAAACCAGTCACAAGCCGGGTGGTGGTAGTGCACGCCTTTAATCCCAGCAGTTGGGAGACAGGCAGGCAGATCTCTGTGAGTTAGAGGCCAACAGAGCAAGTTCCAGGACAGCCAAGGCTGTTACACAGAGAAACCCTGTCCCAAAAAACCAAACCAATAAATAATAAAGTCACAAAACACGGTATAAAATAATAAAGAAGTGGCTGGGTGATGGTGGTGCACGCCTTTAATCCCAGCACTCCGGAGGCAGAGGCAGGCGGATCTCTGAATTTGAGGCCAGCCTGGTCTACAATGTGAGATCCAGAACAGCCAGGGCTACACAGAGGAACCCTGTCTTGAAAAACAAAATAATAATAATAATAATGATAATAATAATGAAAGGAAGGGTGGGTCTGTAGCTCAGTTGGTAGAGTTCTCGCCTAATGTGCACAAAGGTTCTGGATTTCATTCTTAACACAAATAAACTAGGCATGGTGGATCCAAAGTTCAGGGTCATCCTTCTGCCACACAGTGAGTTCAAGGCTATCCTGGAAGCTCTTAGTTTCTAGCCCCCTCAGCACCTACTAGGTCTTTTCCTTTCCCTCCTCAGTTCAGGGACCAAGAGATCAGTTTTGGAATTGAGATCTAGTCACAGCTGCTAAGTGTGATTGTATGTGAACATTTCCTGAAGTGCTTGTCTAAAATGTTGTTTTTCGTGAAACTTAAAACTACTCCATGAGAAATGATGAGGTGGCCCACAGGACTTAGCACCCTCGAGCCCTGATTCATCCCTTCCTGGTTAGGAGACTCAGAAACTCATTGGGCCAATTTATGCCTGTTTCATCACCTGTAAATGGGCACAGAACCTACTTCCTGGTAGTGCTTGTTTCAAGGTCATTGTTTTTTTGTTTGTTTTTGTTTGTTTGTTTTGTTTTTCAAGACAGGGTTTCTCTGTGTAGCTTTGGAGCCTATCCTGGTAGTCGCTCTGGAGACCAGGCTGGCCTCGAACTCACAGAGATCCGCCTGCCTCTGCCTCCCGAGTGCTGGGATTAAAGGCGTGCACCACCAATGCCTGGCTCAAGGTTATTGTTATGAAGACTAAATGCATTTACATTTGAAAGGCACCTCAGCCCGTACCAGGCACAAAGTAAAGCATTATGTGTTCATGAAATGAAGTCAAACTCTCTTTCTAGGCATTTGAGGAGGCTCATCTGACTTCTCTGGACCCCATGAAGCAGTTCGCTTCCTGGTTTGAGGAGGCTGTTCAATGTCCGGACATAGGGGAAGCCAATGCTATGTGTCTGGCTACCTGCACCAGGTAGGCACAGCCATGGGTCCCCGTGTGTGACTTAGGAAGACCTAAACTAAGTGCAGGTCTGTTATTAAAGCCCCAGTTGAGTTGCTGATGTTCTCTGAACCCCAGTAAAGCAGTCCTTAACTGGTAAACAAAAGCCAGCTCACTAAATACTCCTCAGTGATGAAATGCAGTTCCTTATATGCATCTTGATCCCTCATGTTCCACTCACGACTCACGATCCTTGGCTTCCCTCATGCTCCTATCTGCTCAAGTCCTACCGCCCTTCCTCTCCTGGGACTGCTCCCAAGGCCCTTTCCCTCTCTTGAAACCCTGCATAGAATCATATGCCAATCAATCCTACCCTTGGAGAGATCGGTCTGTCTCTGTCTGTCTGTCTGTCTGTCTGTCTGTCTGTCTCTCTCTCTCTCTGTTTTGTTTTGTTTTGAAACAGGGTTTCTCTGTATAGGCCTGGATGTCCTGGAACTCACTATGTAGACCAAGCTGGCCTTGAACTCAGAGATTCTCACCTGCTTCTTCCTCCCGAGTGCTGGGATCAAAGGCATGTGCCACCACCACCAACTGAGAGGTCTATGTTAGCCTCTTATTCAGTTGTCCTTGTCCCTTCTCACTAAAGCACTAGGCTTCAAGACAGGGCTTTGGCACATCCTCTGAGCATTGCCCAGAGCTCTGAGCAGAGGGCCATCCATCATTGCCCCTTTTTGAGTTGGCTCCATGCTTTGTTGTTGGTCCTTTCTCTTTCAGGCTTACATGTTTTTCAACATTGTCACAGAAAAATACCATGGACTGAGGGACTTAGGCAATAAGTTTACTTTTTACATTTCTGGAGGCTAGAAGTCCAAGAGCAAGTGGCTGTTGGGATGCTGTGTGCCAGACATCCCTTAGAAGGATGCTGTTTGATCCAAAAGGAGCACCCAGACAGTGGTATCACACTTGTACCTCCACACAAGGGCATGGTTTGATGACTGGAACCCCACAACCTGACAGTCTGCCCTTTTTTCCAGTTCATAACCATGCATTTGTTTATGTGATTACGAGATTGATATTTGCCTCCGTAAGGGGGTGTGGCTGAAGGGGTTGCTCAGGGGTGAGAATGCTGGAGTAAGTTCTGACCTGATGCTCTGCTGTGTGCCCCTAGAGATGGAAAACCCTCTGCCCGCATGCTGCTGCTGAAGGGCTTTGGCAAGGATGGCTTCCGCTTCTTCACTAACTACGAGAGCCGAAAGGGAAAAGAGCTGGTGAGGGTCGGGCTAAACCCTTCCCAGGGCCGGCAGGGCCAGCCTCCATCCTGGTGTACATGGTCTTCTGGTGATTGCTCAGACTCCCTCTTGCTTCAGGTCCTTGGCACTCTGAATGAATGAGCCACACCCACCTCCATCACCTGCTACCCAATCAGCTGCCATTCCTGTGGGTCTCAACCACATGTTCCCTCATTAGGGAAGCCTTCCTTACCTAACACTGAGTCAGCCCTGGACACATGGCACTGTTGGCACGCAGTGCACCTTATTGCTTGATTTTGCCATTTTCTTGTAGCCTCTGACTGCATTTGTATGTGTGGTTACACGATTGGTATTTGTCTCCTCTGCTATACGGTGAACTTTGTGGAGTAAAGGTTACAGCTTTTATTTAATCTGTTTTGTCCCCAACACCTGTTCTAAAGTGCATAGGAGTTGGTGTTTCATTTGTATTTGGTCATGCCACCCTGAGGTGCACGGCCATGAGTGAGCTGGGTGTGGTGGCACACACCTCCCAGGATTCAGGAGGCTGAGGCAAGAGGATTACCACAGATTTAAGCCACCCTAGGCTACAGAGTAGGACTGTCTCAGAAACAATAAGAAGAACAAAACAAACAATAACAAACATATCTAAAACTACAACTATGGTGATTGGGATGGCCAAGCCTCAAACTGGAGTTAAACCAGCTCAAGTCCAGCTCTACCACTGGCTGGGTACACTTCATGTTCCTCTGCCCCTTAGAGCCTGTTTTCAGATCTGTCACGGTAGGCACACCTTTGAGAATTTAAATGTGATGCAACAGTGAATGCATCTGTTGAAAGTCTCCTCTGTCTCCTGCCTTCCTCCTGTGAGCAGGAAGCGCTGTGTAACATTGTTTTTCCATACAATGTTACCTATGGCTTCTTTTATTTCCAGGACTCTAATCCCTTTGCCTCCCTTGTCTTCTACTGGGAGCCCCTGAACCGGCAGGTGAGTGAGCATCCCCAAAACAACTTCCAGGAGACTGTGTGGGCAGGGGTGAATTTACAAATGACTGTAGGGAGGGTCCCCAGTCCAGGCACACATTCTGTCTAGTCCTGGGTACTCTGCCTCTCACACAACTCTCAGACAGTCTGGTCGGAGCCGAGAGTGGTGGGGCAGCAGATATAGAGAACATCGAGAAATATGGCCTGTGCTAGTAAGAGGGGTTGGTAGGATCAAGCATCACCTAGCCAGGGTCATCCATGAGCAGGTGCGTGTGGAGGGACCTGTGAAGAAACTGCCCGAGAAGGAAGCTGAGGACTACTTCCATTCCCGGCCCAAGAGCAGCCAGATTGGGGCTGTGGTCAGTCGCCAAAGTTCTGTGATCCCAGACCGGGAGGTGAGTGGGGCTCCTGCATGGTCCTCTTGATTAGTGAGGCCCTGGACTCATCCCCAGAGTCTGTCTCCAGGAGATGCCAGGCCCTGTCAATCTAGCAGAGAGAAAAGGACGATCCTGTCCCTAGGGGAGA